ACCATCAAATTGGATCTGACTGGTACAGGAGACTGCCCCTCCTACAGCAGAGCATGAAGTAGAGTCTGGGTTCCCCCCCCCCAGGTGGTGCTGGGGTATTTTATAAATTCTAGCTAAAAGTCCCTTAACAGACATGTCATTACCAAATATTTTCTCCCAGTCTGTGGCTTTCGTTTTTACCCTGTTGGAGTTTTTTTTTGTGCATAGGGATTTGATTCTTAGAAGGTCCCATTCATCTGTTTTATACTCACCTGGTTGTAGGATTTTCAGGATGCTTGGGAGATTGTTCATGTTGTAGATTAGGACCTCTAAAGTTCTTCCAACCTTTTCTCTGATGAAGTTTATAGTCGTTGGTTTTACTACTAGGTCCTTGATCCACTTTGAGTTGGTTTTTTTGTATGGTGTGAGGTGAAACAAATGACAGTGAAAACACAACTTACCAAAACTTCTGGTAAACAGCCAAAGCAATAATTAGAGGTCCATTTATAGCAATAAGCAAACACATCAAAAGGCAAGAAAAATTATTATTGACTTTCTAACCTAACATCTCCATCAAATTGAAAAGAACTGCAAGAAAACCTGACACCCTCTAAAAAAACCCTGAAATTATAAATATTAGGGCATAAATAAGTGAAATAGAAAACAGAAAAACAATTGAAATTGCCAATAGAATCAGGAGTTGTTTCTTCAAAAAGAACAATAAAATTGACAAACCACTAGCAAAAAATAAAGCAAAGACACAATCTGAATAATAGATGAAAGGGACAATGTCACAACAGAACCAACTAAATTAAAAAAGTTATTGATGGAATATTATGAAAAACTATACTCAAACAAATATGAAATCCTACAGTAAATGGGCAAATACATAAACTTCACAACCTACCTAAACTGACACAGACCTAAATCAAACACCTGAACAGATCCATTACAAAAGAAAAAATTGGACAGGTAAGAAAACAACTTCCAACCAAAAAAACTCTTAGACCAGATGGTTTTACAAGGGAATTTTATCAAACATTCAGAGAAAACTGTCACCAATTCTACATAAGGTATTTCAGAAAATAAAAAAAGATGGAATTCTTCCAGACTCATTCTATGAAGCAGACATATCCTTCATACCAAAATCAGGCAAAGATACCACCAAAATAGAAAACTATAGGCCAATATCTCTCATGAACATTGATACAAAAATCCTGAATAATAAAAATCCTAACTAATAGAATTCAACAGTACATTAAAAAAAAAAATTGACCCTGACCAAGTGGGATACATGACTGGTATGCAAGGATGGCTGAACATAAGAAAAACAATCAGTGAATTCATCACATTAATAAAGCAAAGAACAAGGACCACATGATCCAATCCTTTGATGCAGAAAAAACCTTTGAAAAAATCGAACACCCTTTCCTGATTAAAACACCCAACAAAATAGGAATATAGGGAAATTTTTTCAACATAGTAAAACATATATAAGCAAACCCAAGAGCCATCATGGTTCTCAATGGAGAGAGATTAAAGGCATTCCCTTTGAGAACAGAAACTAGGCAAGGATACCCACTATCACCTCTCCTATTCAATATTGTATTGGAAGTCTTAGTGATAGCAATAAAGCAAGAGAAGGAAGTAAGAGATATCCATATTGGAAAAGAAGAGGTAAAATTATCTCTTTATGCAGATGATATGATAGTATACTTAAAAAACCCTAAAGTCTCAGCAAGAAAACTACTGGGCATAGTTGACTAGCAAAGTGGCAGGATTCAAAATCAACATTCATAAATGAATTGGATTTCTCTATAGTGACAAAGAGAATACAGAACTGGAGCTGAGAAAAACAATACCCTTCACAGTAGCTAATCACAATATTAAATACTTGGAAGTAAATTTCACTAGAACCACAGAGACCTATTCAAAGAAAATTATAAAACATTACTACAAGAAACCAAAAAAGACCTGGAAAAATAGGAGAATATACCATGCTCATAGATAGGAAGACTCAATATTGTGGAAATGACAGCTCTACCAAAGGCAATCTACAAGTTCAATGCAATCTCAATATAAATACCAATTCCGTTGTTCAATGAGATGAAAAAGGCAATGAGATGAAAAAGGGATGGCGGGGAAGAAGAACAAACTGGGGAGGAGAGTAGAGAGAATGGTGCAGCAATGAAGGAATGAAAACCCAAAATCCCTGTAAATGTTCATTAAAACTAATAAAATTTAATAATAATTAAAAAAAAATTTTTTAAAAAGGCAATTTCCAATTTCATCTGGAATGGAAAGAGACCCCAAATAAGCAAATCATTCCTGAAAAAGAGAAACAAGGTAGTAGGCGTCTCACTCACTCCCTGATCTCAAATTCTACCTACTACACAACCATGGTGGTCAAAACAGTGTGGTACTGATACAGTAATAAACACATATATCAGTGGAATGGAATTGAGAACCCAGAAATCAGCTCATTTACATGTAGTCAACTGATTTTTGACAAGGAGATGAAATCAGTTAAGTAAGGGAATGAAAGCCTCTTTAACAAATGGTGTTGGCAAAATTGGAAAATTATCTGTAGAAAATTCAAGAAATTTCTTATTTAAAATATTAACCATTGCCTTTCAGGCATCCCTCTGAACCAGTAAACTTGACAGAAATTATTGATTAAATATAATAAGAAATATTTTCTATAGTCTGGCTTATTTTACTACCTTAAGAATAAGATGTGCACATGTAATAATCTCCTGCACATTATTCAGTGGCATTCACTGGTATTTTGAGGACTTTTCTTTCAGAACCAATTTAGTAGCCTTGCATCATTTTCCAGACATATTCCTAAAAGATGTGCCCACAATCTGAATCCCAGTAAATATCTATTACTACACCTATATTTTTTTAACTTCAGTGAAGGTTTTACTAGTCCTGTTAGTTTTTTGCACAATCATATTTTGCTTTACAATATTACTATTGATTAATGTCATTACTTGCAATGTCTAATCAATCCTTTATTGTGTATTGCCTTTCCCGTCACTTATTTATTTATTAATCTTCACTCCCCTCTCCTTCCATTCCTATCCTGGTTAACTCTCTAATTTTATCTATGCATCATATCTCGTTTAGTAAACCATGATGTTGTATCTGTTTCCGGATTAGGAAATGAATCGATACCGCTCTTGGTGCAGCCTCTTATTCGGTTATGACTGGGTTGGGATTCCACTCGTTTACACCCAGGTATGAAATACTTGCGATGTGATTTTTTGTTTCCTCTTGCCCACTTTGGCTCTCCATCTTACTGTTGGTGACCAACACATGTTCTCACTCTGGTTTCTCTCTATTCCAGGTTGTCACTCTTGCTGTCTACACTTTCTTCTTTGCATGCCTGATTGGACGCCAGTTTTTGGATCCCACCAAAGGCTACGCAGGACATGACTTAGATCTCTACATTCCAATCTTTACTCTCCTACAGTTCTTCTTCTATGCAGGATGGCTCAAGGTAGCTGGCAGGCTCAGAATCCGAGACTTGCTCCATAATCACTGTCATGTTCCAAATGTCACCATGCTGATCCTTTCCTGAGTCTTTAGCAAATCATTCGTTTAACAGGTGATAGTTCAGAGATGCTTGATTTTGCAGCCAAGGATTAAAGTGGCAGGGTTGAAGTGAGTACTTCACTGCAGTTGGCTGAAGCAGCTCATTTATGCAGAGAGGTTGCAAGAAGAATACTCTTTTATGGCTATTGATTTTTTTTCCAAGTACATCCGTGTTCCCATTAGGATTACAATGATGTAATTAAAGCAAAACAGTGTACCTGCATTGATATTTTATACCACAAGCAACAACTGGGCAGAGTAAATGGAAGTAAACAAGAAGCCAGGGATTCCAGGCTTAAGCTAACACATTAAGACTGTGTTATTAATCTTGTTTTTAGTAGAGTCTGTAAAGAGATATGTGCAATTCCTTGTAATTCCCCCAGCTGCCCCAAAATTAAATATATCCTATTTGTGGAACCAGAACCAAGACCCGGAAAAGAATTCATGAGAATCAAAACCAGAAGCACCAAGATTATGATGACATTTGGGTTGTCCAGAAATTAAAAACAGATGAGAACAGTAAGAAGGGTTTGCCCAATTATTAGTGTAGGATTTGTTCCCACCACCATCCCTCCCCTCTCTCCCCCCAGTTCCTTGTTTATGTGTGGAAATAGCAGGATTGTGAATCTTAATACAGTGTTAGTCCTCTTTTGTCAACTTCCACAGGAAATTATGTGATGGAAAGGAAGGGGGGGGAAGAAGGCTTCATTATGTTAGTTTAAAGATTAGTTCAATAAAATAGTATTTTCAAATACTATTTGAAAAGCTACATGTTGTGCCTAGTCATTGCCTTCCAACCTGGGTCAACATGTTCCCTGGAGATGCTTTTACTTCCATTGGTTTGGATCTTAATCAGGAAAAAGAAAATATCCTGGCACTTCAAATTCTACCCCAAAGAGTAAAAGCATGCCCTTTACAAATGGCAAAATTGTTTTTAACTAGATGACAGGGTTTCTTAATTATTTTTACCCATTTAAGAGAGAGAAAGAACAAGAGACTAACAGCTGTCATTTCTCGTTAGAAGACAAAGTAGACTCTACCTTTATAAACACAGAATCACTGTCGTTGGTTCATGTGTTCAGTCGTTCTGGTTTTCACAGACCTTCCCCCCTGAGCTGTGCTGAGGTATGTCCGGGTGAGGTGTTTGGCCTCTGAGGAACGGTGGGCAATACCTTTCTCCTGATGTGCTTTCCGTATAAGATACTTTTAGCAAGCAAAATATTTTGTCTCTAAAATACTTATAAAAGGCAAAATATCTCTTAGCTCTGTTAAGAAGTGAGTGTTCCCACACCAATAGGTTGTATCCCCCTTTCTAAATAACTGTTCTCTCTTGTCCATTCTAGAAGTTATGCGTCTTTTCGGAGTGAAGGAAATCAGTCTTAAGCTTGTGAAAAATCACATTACCCAGTTATTTCCCAGAAATTAAGGATATCTTAGTGAGATAGTCAATTTGGAAACAAATTATGGAGAGTTGATGTGAATTGTGTGAATCCACCTGTGGCTCTGAAAGAGAATGATGGGAACTCTCCTCTCAATTTACAGCCTGAGAAATCCAGTGGCGGGTCAGCTATAAATCAGTCAAACTCGACAGCAGTGAGGGAAGATAGCATGAAGGAGCCCTGGCGGCACAGGAGAATAAGCAAGGGACTGCTAACCAAAATGTCTACAGTTCGAATCTTCCAGCCACTCTGCAAAACGTTGAGGCAGTCTGCTCCTGTCAGGGTTTACAACCCAGCAAATCCTATGGGGTAGTTTGAGTCTGTACCATAGGGTCACTGTTGCAATCCGTGGCAGTGAGGATTTTGTTGTTGTTATTTGTTTGTTTTGTCTTAAAATAACGTATGCAAGACTGATCCCATAAAAGTGAAAGTCTGTACAGAGAAGTATTTTCAATATGCAACCTCTGCCACATTTCATTCAAGCAACAGGCCAGGTATGAAAAAGGTGAATATCCCTTGGAATTAAAAATAAAGGGCTTTGGTATGGATATTGCTGGTTTGAGCACAGGCTGTCCCTAGTAGAGTCCCTTAGAGTAAGGGAGTTACTTCTCTAAGTAGCCACTGGTTCTTAATGCTGGTTTTACATTAACAGCTCTTAAGAGCTTTAAATAATCCAGATGCCTGGACTCAACCCAGCACAAATTACCATATTTTATATAAACAACAACTGCACTGTATGTTTTGGGGCTTTTTGTGGAGTTTTGGGTTTTGTTATGGTTTGATTTGGGGTTGGTTTTTTTGTTGTTGTTGGTTGTTGTTTTTTTTTTGGTCTGAGAGTGTGTGTGTCTGTGGTTTTATGTTGGTTGTTTTGCAACCTGCTGCACTCCCTGGCACATTCATTTCCTATATGTATTATGTGTGTTAGTGAGACTATTATTTGTAGACATGCTTTATATGTAGAAAATACAGTAAATCAGAATCTCTTTGGAGAATTAGGATACAGGCATCAGGTTTTATTTATTTATTTGTTTGTTTTGTTTTAAGTTCCTAGAGGAGTTAATATGCCATCAAATTTGCAAACCACTACTTCAAGCAGTTACATTCAAATCTTAAAAGTAAATGGATGAATTTTTTTTTTTACTGAATGATCACAAACTCTAGAAACTTGACTGATCACATCAGACCAAAGCATACACTGAAAAATTTTTCCCTTATGCCTCATGTAAACACTCATAAGCAGTTCCAGATAGTAATAATATGCAAGAGGAATTACTAAGAAGCAAAAATTAGAGGTGAGTCATATTGGCCTTTAAATCTCTTCCTGAAAAGACATTCAGTTCCAGAACATGATAAGGATATTCGATATTGACCAAATATTAGAAGATAGGTGGTAAGGAACTGCGTGAACTTTTCCCAGCAGGAAAACTGACTTACTGGTAAACAACGAACCCTTTGGTAAAACCAGACAGGATTCTAATTCCAACTTTATGACTTAATAATTGTCTAACTCATTCATTTCGGTAATTATATTCACCAATTCTGAGCATTTATGCTATGATCAAGTGTATCATTTAGGAGTTAAATCCAATAATTGTGAAATCTCTGTTATTCTTTTTAGTATTGATTTACCACTTTCTTGGCTATTTAACCTTCCTCATGTTTGCAATTCCTCTTGTCAAATGAATGTGTGTAAATTATTTGAAACAGGAGCATATATGCCTCATCAGGGTTGGGGTGAGACAGAGAAAAATTGGATAAATTATGTATACTGCACTGAAACAGATGAGGGAGAGAACAGTATAAAAGCGATATATGATTGGTTATTATGGCTATGACGGGAGTCCAGAGTGAAGGTTTCATAGTGGAGTGTACTGGTGGGGAGGGGGCATTGTATACCGATGAGGGAATTTTTCTTTTACTTTTCAGAGAGAGGAGGGAACTGGAGGTGAGAGGTGGGCAGGGAGAAAAATACAACAATGAATGAATGGATATCCAAAAATTCTGTAAATGTTCATTAAAATTAATAAAAAATATATCTAACATAGTACTTACGTATCTGTGCCCCAATATTTATTGGTTTGATTTGTACTGACGATCAGTCATTTGACTCTTAACTAGTTCATGGTTTCTCTCACAGTGGATCCCACATTTTCACCCGCTGACTTGACAGATCAGTTTGGGAGCATCAATACATCAGTCATGGCTTGAGTGCCAGTTTCAATCAGATCACTATCTGTGTCTGTCAAACTACCCTCTTTCCTTTAGGCCTCATATTAGGAAAGTAACAAAAAGAAGCAGAGAGTAAAGGAGGGATCATTTTCAATCTCCAGTCTTAGTGTTCTTAAGCCTTCTGATGGATTTATTTTGTTTTTAACTGCAGGTAGCCGAGCAGCTTATCAACCCTTTTGGAGAAGATGATGACGATTTTGAAACTAATTGGTGCATTGATAGAAATTTGCAGGTTAGAGGAGCTTTTCTTTCGTTTACATTAAGAATGAATCACAGTCATGTTTCAAATCTGAGCAGACTCTGAATTCAGGCTATGGACTGACTTTTAGCTGTAAATGAAATAAATCTGCTATTTAATTTGTTGTCTCTGTTCTGTTGGGGCTACAGAGCTCCCAGGTGTCAGTTTCTGTGTACAGTGGACCCTTGAACAGCACAGGTTTGAACCCTTCAGGTCCGCTTATGTGCACATTGGTCTTTTCCTTTTGCTGTTTCAGTGAGCTCAAGTGGTGTAAGTATTCGCTTTAAACACGAAGTGATACTAATCATCTCTATTGAACAGGTCCTCTCTAGTATATGCCCACTTCAAGGGTCAACTGTAAAGTATATGTGTATTTTTTTTTTACTGTGCAGGATGCTGAGGGCCCTAATTCCCACATTGTTCAAAGATGAACTGTGACTTAGTCTTTTCCAGGTAGACATTTGAAAAGCTCTGGTGTCGTAGTGCATAGGGAGTTGGGATGCTAACCCAAAGATGGAGCTGCTCTGGTAGTTCAGGTCCACCAGCGGTTCCTCAAGATGGGCATGAAGGGGCTAGGGTGGGCGGGGGGTGGGGGGAGCAAACTCCTCCTGTGCAATTTATTACATCCTCAGAAACCCAACAGAGAATCAACTATGATTTCGTTCTGGCTTAGCAGCAATGAGAGAAGTAGAATTTTAAGCCAATTGCCAGTTTCTTTATTAATTTCCATCTCAGTACAGATCAGTGGCTTTAATTTCATTTGTTTTCTTTTGCAACCCAGAGAGACGAACATACATGGCAGGCAGGCACTATCTGATGTGAATCGCTTCAGTCTCCAGCAGTTGGCCATGAGGGGCCCAGGCTAAGCCACTTGTGTTCAGGTCTACCAGAATTACACCAAATAGGTGTCAGGCCCTTACCAGAGAGTACAATACTAGAGAAGCTTTGCATGAAGAACCATAGTGAGGGCATTCAGGAGAGATTCTCCTGGGTCCATTCCCTTCCCGAGACCATCCTACTGACTAAGGCCTGTGTGCATTTGTGTCCAGTCCTTGCCCAGTGCTTTAAGACGCTCACACTTCACAGATCAGACTGTCTCTCTCTTAGGGAAAATATAATTCCAAGGCTCCTCAATATTTGTAAACAATGGAGGTTCCCAAGGATTATTAATTTCTTCACACAACAATTTGTCAAAGACAAAAGAAGAAACCTCTATAGCACCAGGCTAGAGATACATTTTCCCAAACAAACAAATGGAAAGTTCAGGACTTATAAGAAATGATGTTGTTGTATACCTTCGAGTGGAAACCTACCCATAGCTGACCCTCTGGCAGGTTTTCAGAGGCAGTTATTCACACAGAAGGAGATTGTCCATCCTTCTCCTGTAGAGCGGCTGGTAGACTGGAACCATGTGCCTTTGGGACTGCAGCACAGCTTCCTGCCACTAGGCTACCAGTGATGTTATTGTTGTTGTTATATACTATCAAATTGCTTACCCATTGTAAATATGTTTATACTGTCAACATAATGGAATGTTGAGAATCTTTCACTTTCCTATAATATGTGGAGTTGTCTTGATAATGTCAAGATGGCCACTAGAAAACTGGTCACTTTGGACAAAGTAGAAAAAGATGTCAATGGTGAACAATGGAGAAAGTATTTCTCTTTCTTCCAGATAAGATATACCTCCCCTTAGGGCACATGTCTTGATGAAGCATATACCTCCATGGCCAAGTCCTCTAGTGCACCAACTTGTACAATTCTCTGTGTCAACACTGGAGTCAGTAAGCATGAATATTTACAGAGGTTATACCCTAGCCGACCATTCCATCCATGGGAACTTACTCCTTTCCTTTCTATAATTCACATTTGAATTATTCTAATATTCTAACAATGATTTTAGGTCTCTCTTTTAGCTGTGGATGAAATGCACATGAGCCTCCCCAAGCTGAAGAAGGACATTTACTGGGATGATTCTGCTGCTCGGCCACCATACACACTGGCCGCTGCCGACTACTGCATACCCTCGTTTCTGGGGTCAACCACCCAAATGGGGTAAGTGTGTTTCTTTCAATCTCTAGTATTTAGAAAACAAGTAAGGCACTGTCCTGATCTTTTTACACCTTGGCATTAAAGTTACTTTCATGGCAGTTCTCAGTTATTATTAAATATATTCTATTTTACAAATGTAGCCTTTTCATAATTTTAGATAGAATTAAGAAGTTCAAGGTGTAAGAGATTGTAGTTTCTGGTTTAAGTATAGTAGTTCTGATTTTTTTTTAAATCAATATTAAGCCTGGCATTTAGGGAAGTGTAATGTGTTCATAGCGGGGTCTGCTGCAGCCCCAAAGGCCATGACACCCTGGCAGTTCAAATCCAACTGCAGCTCCAAGAGAAAGATGGGCGGCCTTCTCCTTTGTGATTTACAGCCTTGAAATCCAATAGACAGTCAGTTATAAGTCATCCCCAGCTCACTGATAATTAGTTGAATTTTACAATTTCTGTTTTGCTATTCTTTCCTAGTATGGCAATCTTTTTTTGCCATGGTTGTAAAACTCTCCTCCTTCCCCGCACCCCCACTATCAACTTGAAGAGTCATTTAAATTCCTATCTCAATTAAATGTGTTTCTAAGAAATATTCTTTGATCAAATACCATATGTAGTTGCTGAGTTAGGCTGTTTTGGAGACACGCTAATTTTAAGAAATGGGATAAATTTTATAAAATATTTTCTCTAAGATTGCAATTCAGTCCAAGTATGTTCAATGCACAAGTAAATCTGTTTCATAGTTTTAATATAACTATCTGTTCCTATATATTTTAGCTATGAATGAGACTTGAAGTTAATCATGCACTGTTCTTGAATAATTAAATCTTATCATGTACTGGATTTTGATGAAATGTGTGAATATAAGAGAAACAAATATATTTGCTGAAGACAGATGCCACAGTTTCTAAGAAACAAAGGAAAATTTGCACATATTTGATAAAATAAAAAGAACTAGATAGAAGAAAAAGGGAAACCTCTGTGACATTTTTCTTACAACTTTGGACAAAAGTGTGGCTTACTGTTCCTGAAGGCAGCCTTAAACAGATTTTGGACTAGGTCCATGTCCTGTTTCTCTCTGTCTTCTCCCCACCCTCTTCTTTCCTTACTCTGGATATCTAGCTTGAAGACTCTTCCTCCAACACTTTTAGGTGGTGGTGGTGTGTGCTGCCAACCCAGTTCCTTCTCATACAACCTCATGTGACAGAGTAATGTTTCCTCGGCCAGTTCCTTCTCATACAACTCATGTGACAGAGTAATGTTTCCTCGGCTGTAATTGTGACAGGCAGGGGCTCTGGTGGCAGAGTCCACACTGTTGCTGCTAACCAAAAGGCCACGTGTGTCCAGTAATTCAAACTCACCAGTGGTCCCTCAAATGGAGGGTTGCTATGAGTTGGAATAGACTCTGTGGCAATGAGAATTTAGTTTACCTTTAACAGAAACAGATCCCAAGGTCTTTCTCCTAAAGAACAGATGATAAATTGGAACTAGCAGGATTCCTTTCACTACTGTTGGCCATTTTAGGTTTCTGAGGCTATAAATTGCCCAAGAAGAGATTGTTTCCCCTTCTCCCATGGAGCTGGTGGTGGACCTGACCCACAAAAGAGTAGGCAGTGAATAGATAGAAAGTGAAAATGAAAAGAACATTATGGAATGAATGAGGTACGGTAATTCATGATAAGGAACAAGATACTCATGGTTGAGGGGGAAGCTAAAGAAAAGTTTACACATAGAAACTGGCATGGGAGGTTGGCGGGGGTGGGATGGGAGTGAGAGGGGAGCAGAGATTAGTAGATACATGGGTAGGGTGATGGGAAAAGCAAGGCACGGTTAGGTTTGATGAGATGTGATAATAAATGTTGTTGATTAATTGTAATTAATGTTCTAAAGCAAGCTGTGTATGAATGAGAACAAAGTCTGTAAGTCAGCAGCACAGTTCCTACAAACTCCAGCAGAGCTCAAACATCTGCTAATCTCCACAAATAATGACTTGTGGCATTCCTTCTCTACACTCCTCCCTGATGCTGAAAGCCTTTCTAGACCTAAAGAGAAAGATAACTGAGCATGCAATTTCAGGTAAATGATGAGAAGGATTTAGAAGCCAGTAGGTTTTCCTTAGACCTCTGGTGACCTGATCCATAGAATGCTCCTTCGCTAACCCAAAGACCCCGTGTCCACTGTATTAGAGGAGAAAGTTGGACAGTCAAGATTTACATCCTCAGAAACCCAGTAGGAGGCACTGTGAGTCAGAATCAACTCAGTGAACTTGCCTTGTAACCTCAGAAGAAGCCCCAGAGGAAGATGGCTTTTCCGTGCTGCTCTTGCTTCTGCTTCTGGAGATAATTCTAAGGCTGGATTCTCTTTCTCCGTGCTGCTCCTGGGCTCAAACACTCACTACCTCCAGCCCATCATTCACTTTTCTTGAAGAATAACTTCCTGTTACATGTTCTTCTCAGCATTTACTAATGTGTTCCTCAGTGATGACCTTCCCTTACATATGACAACCTTCTCAATTTTGAAATTAATAAGAAATGTTTTTCTGGGAGGTTTTTTTTAAGGTAATTTTTTTACTTTATCTCTCTACCTTAAACATTGATTAGTGTATGAACTGTATGATTTAGTTTGTAAAAGAAGAGACTGTCACCTTTGATAGGGCTAGAGAATCGTTATGAGAACTCTGTACATGAACATGCATGTTCCATCTCTAATATCCAGTCTTTGTTCCTGTTGTCTCATGATGGTTATCTTTATCTCTGTTTTTATTCTAGTTGCATAATTTTACAATATCCATATCCATGATCTTTAGAATGTATTAAGAAGTGTATTTCTCTTATTTTATGTAGAAACATAGAATTACTGATTTCCCAAACCTAGGAGATAATCTACCCCAAGAAGATTACTGAGAGATTGTTCTTCTTGTGTGTACTTTTAAGTTGAAACTAACTCATCACTGACTCCTCAGTGGTTTTTCAGAGGCATTTAATTGCATGGGAGGAGTTTCCCATCTTTCTCCATGACTGAGAAGATTAGATGGGATTATAAATATGAATACATCTAGAGATTATATTGTATTGTTATATAGCTATAATGTATTATTGTTTTCAACTCACAGATCTCTTATTTATGGATGTTAAACTTAGATTCAGAAAGAATAAATACCCAAATATCTATTTTTCTATTGGGAGCTCTGATGGCCTAGTGGTAAGAACCTACACTGCAATCCCAAAGGTGTACAGCTCGAATCCACCAGCTGCTCTGAGGCGGAAGGATGATCGGTCTCTTCCCATGTGATTAAAAACCCCACTGGAAAGTCAGCTATACGTTGGTTCCAACTTGACAGCACACAGCAACAACATTTTCTATTAAACTCATATCAGAATTTTGCTACAGAAAATAAAACACCTAAGGGAAAGCCTAGAAATAGGGCTTCTAAGAATGAAGAAAACATTATCAGTTGTCAGAGAAAACTCCTCTGAAGATGCATATTTGCTGGCATGACGGTAAGTGGTACTGGCAACGGCCAGATTCTATTGAGGGAGACTCTGTGAGATTTTTTTTAACTCACCTGTCAGAACTAACTAGTCAAAGGAAGTATCAGGCAAAATATCAGATGATCTTGATTTTCTGTGTGAATGTGGACTGTTGAAACAGTCTTACACTCTATGAGGTGTCACTGCAGAATATAGGCTTTGAAGAGTCACAGGAATGTCCTCCTTGATATGTTAGTGTCAGTTCTTCCCACAATTGAGTATTGTTGTTGTTTGGTTCTGTTGGATGAGTTCCAACTCAAAGCGACCTTATGTACAACAGTCCTGATTGGATATTAGACAACATATGGCTGGTTTCACTGCCCTCCTAGTGACAAAATAGTAGCCAGCAGCCCCAGGCTCACCACCTATGGAAAGAGCACGTCTTTTTTTTTTTTCTTTTTGAACTTAAAACATTTCAAACAGAAGTACAATATTTGAGTTTAATTTGCCCTGCTTAGCCATGTTTGGCTAACATGCCCATTCCTGAACTAATCACTAATGACATGGAGAGATAATATTTTGATTGGCCAAGCCATGTCATCTTTGGACCAAGTGATGTAGTCCCAAATAATCATGTGGAAATAAGTCATTCTTTAACAAAAATGAAGCTGCTATTATCAGAAAAATGAATGGTTTTGTTTGACAGTGTCTGTCCTCCAAAATCAGAAAAAGCACATCTCTGACCATTAACTACTAGGTCAGAGTCAAGTGAGTGAAGCTCTCTGCAAGAGAAAAGTAAGAATTATTTGGTATCACAAGTGGTGATGCTTGGCCGAATAAATGAACTCTTTACATTGGGTGGCGAGCAGGTGTCACTTCTGAGGTGAGCTTTTTAGAAAAGTGCCTACTGCTTGATGAAATGTAAAATTCTTCCCAGGATAAACAAATGTTCACTTTCATATTCTGCTCAAGGTGTTCACTTCAATTCTACTTAAATTAAATTTCCCTTTTTTCCATAGCAGTGTTTCTAGTTCGTGGCCATAATCCCATGACCCCAAAACTAAAAAATCAAGACAATAATAAAAAAATTAACTGATCAAAAAGTACTAGCCAAGACAACCTGAGAAATTACTCTGCCTCATGTTCTCTTTCCCAGCTGGCACGCCATTCATTTCCACTAAGAAAGGGAATGCCTTGGGAACAGTTATTCTGTTCACTATACTCAGAACAATGTTCAATGTATTGCTGTATTTTCTGTGCATTTACCAAGTATACATTACTGACCTGAAGTAAGTTTTTGGCCCTTTTGCTCTCAAGTTCAAATTTGTACCTTCATTTATGGACTTGAGTCACTTATTTGCTTATGAAAATTTTTTCTCAATTCTATTACATGGTGAGTTCTATAACAGAACTCTGTTGGCCTGATGATTAAGGAGTTGAGCTGCTAATGCAAAGACAGGCAATTCAAATTCACCCAGCTTCTCCCCAGGGGGGAAAAAATGGACAATTTCTTCCCTTAAAGTTTACAGCCTCTGAAAA